GGGGGGGGAAGAAGAGAGGGAGGTACTTTGATCATAAGGAAGTGGAAAATAGTAAAAACTCGGATCACTGGTTGGAGCGGCCTTGGCCCGCTGATGCCCGGGCCGGGCCGGGCGCTGCCCCGTGTGCCCTTGCCGGCGTGAAATCGCGATAACCACTCCTCACCAACGGCGCTACGCTACGCCACGCCACACCACGCCACACCACGCCACACCACGCCCCTCTGCCGCAACAGGCGCGGATCCAGGCGCGGGGGGTGTGGCGGAGCTGCGGGGGGCGCTGCATATAGCTCACAGGACGGCCCACGGCCCGGTCAGCTAGCGGCGGGGAGCACCCGAGGTCACAATCTCTTCCTCGTCGTTCATCTTATTTATCATTTTCAATTATCCGTGGTCACATTACAGACATTTCGCTTATTCGCCAGATAATCTAGTCATTCGCTCCATAAACCATTCACTCGTTCGATTATTCATCCATTGATCAACGGCAGACAGGTGACAGGTCTCCTCGCACCGCCATTCCAATCTCGCACATCACAATGGACCGCTCCCCTATCCCCACCCCGTTTTCTCCTCCATATACCCTGCTGCTGCTCTTTCGAGGAGAAGCGTCGAGCTCCCTTTTGACTCCGCCGGGTCCCTGGTCTTCTCTCCTCCGACTCCCGGCCCGGCCCACTCTGGAGGACTCATCCGGGTTATTAAGGGCACAATCATCATGTCGCAGACAAAAGGGCCTCCGCCACCCTCTCCACTCGCCGCGCCTCGTTTAGGACACTCTGCTCCATACCCCCCCCCCCTCCTTCTTCCACTACTCCGTCACCACGTAGGCCGCGCACCTGTCGACACGCACACGCTACTACACTTGGGAAATCTTGTTGCCACACACGTTAGGCCCGTCTCCAGTTTCCAACCCAACTCCTCGCCCCCATCGCAGACCCGGAGAAAAAGTTCAGTTCTCGATATTGCGCGTGCTCCAATAATGCCTGTGTGTCCCGAGACTTGCACCGCACCATTATATTCGAAATCTACTGCTTTGCTTTACCTCCGCTGTTCCGTGGAAGCGTAGCAAAGAAAGCCGAAAGAAGCTCTTACTTTGGTGGTCGCATGTGCCGCCGCCGCCGCTGCCGCGCTCGCTGCGAATGCGGCAGTAAGCAGAGGTGAGTGCGGGGGAGGGGGGCGTTCGCAGCGTGCATCGGCATGCTGAGGGGGCTGAACGAGAGGCTGCAGCAGAGGGACAAAAGTAAGAAAGAAAGCGAGCATGATAGATTGGGAGGCGGAGGAGGGAAAAGGGGAGGGGGGGATGAGAATGATGGATAAAGAAGGGAGGTGCGGTGTGGGGCTCCCAGCCGTGCGGCCCCAGTCACCCCCGCAGCGCTCCCCCGCCCGAGC